CCACGTAAATGGTATGCTCGAAAAAATTCGTTTTGAGAAAAACGGAAAATAAGTATTAGAAATCGATTTTTCCGAAAATCACCTGATTTATATATCCATGTTCAAGACAGGTTATAAAAATGTGATCTCAATATAAAGTATTCATAGTCTCTTAGTGATTAGTATAGAAAAAAACTTTACGAGATGCTGATGCAAAGAGAAAGCAGCCTAAAAAATCGAAAAAGCTTGGAAAAAAACTCTGAGAATTTCTCGAAAAATATGACAGTAGGAGCCGAGTTTTAGACGATAAGTTCGCCAAAATCAATTCATTTTTTGATAAACCATAGATGTTCTGAAAGAGGAGATTTCGGTGCATCTTCCTACGATAAAACTTCAATTTCGACTCGTCTCCGAAAAATTGGATTTTCTGAGGGGGAGGGGGGAGGCCCTTAATATGATTAAAATAAGAGTCAAATCACCTGAAGAAAATTTGATTTTCTTTTCGAATCTTCTATAAAAATAATGATTGAAATCAGTTATATTTCTAAAAACAGAATTATATTAGTTTATTTGAATTTTAATTGATTGATTTCAACCCGTTTAGTTTTGATTAACAGTTGTTTATTTTCTAAATAAGCTAAATTCGTTGTTACTTCAATCTGAAGCTATGAGTCTTGTTCAGATTTTACGAGTGATCATTTCATATGATTATATTGAAAATTTTTCAAGATTAACGTAAATAATTTTTTTGAAATAAACTCAACTGTATCAATTATTTAGTTCTAAGAACTTAGGAGAAAAGAATCTAAAAACGAAACCTAATCTACATACGTCAAGGTGGCAATTCATTGAAATTATTGAATAGATATGAGTCTATTTTAATTTAATTTACACTTTCTCGACTACTGTTGAAAAGCTTGAAATGCAAGAAGATTTTAGAAATAAGATAGGTGATTAGTATTTTAGTTATATAGGTAAATAAATATATTTTCCTGTCATCCGAACAATAGGATATGTTCTTTTCTTGTTTCAATCATGTCAGTATTTATATCGCAATTTCACTTCGCTTGTCTATAGTGGGAAATCATGTGGACATTAGTTGCAAAATTGAAAGTGAGATTTTTGGTTTTTTGTAAATAGAGCTGCATATTTTTGGATAATAGGCTATCTAAAGTCAGAATACAGTTTTACTATTATTGGCGAATTTCCAAATTAATTCATAATTAACAACTGATCTATTTTTATGACCTTTATGGAAAAGTAATTTTTTTATTAGATTTTCCGATTTTATATTGGTGAAATTATATGTTCAAATTCTTACCATGATGGGTGGGTAAATGATTCATCTATAGCCACACCACACCCACCCCGAAAAAACAGATGTTAGATCCTGCAAGATCCAATGAGGTCTTACTCCTATAAGATTTTTTCTATGATCTTGTTACAATATCGGACAATATCTTATATGTTCATTTTTTTCAAGATGTTCTCAGATTTTGATTGTGCGGTGTCAGCAAATAATCTTACAAGACTCAATGATTAAGACACTGATTTGGACAGACTGGATCCTTCTTGTCAGATCTTAACAGATCATATAAGATCCAAAAAGAAACATACACAGTACATAATGTAGATCTTGCCTGTTAGTATCTGATCGTATATGGTCTGTTCTGTTCTTTCCCTTATTCGAGAATAGTTGATTCCATCAGCTTTCCGATGAAGAACAGCACCTGGGAAAAAGACTCGAATAGTTTACGTCAGTTTTTTTCTTCTTTTTCTATACTAATAGTGTAGAAAACGGTTATTTTTATTTTTCACCTTTCTATATTAATAGAGTACAGAACGGTTACTTGTATTCCTCATTTTGCTGTAGGGATAAAATAGTAAATCCTATTTATTTTTTATTTTCTATATTGATAATATAGAAAATCTTACTTTTTATTTTTCTACATTGGTAATAAAGATAACAATTTGTTTTATTCTCTATTTTTTGTATATTGTTGACATAGAAAATCTTAGTTTTTATTTTGTATTTTTCTATATCGATAATATAGAAAAATAAGAATTAAAACTAACTGATATTTATATTATCAATTAAAATCAATAAGAATTCAAAAATAAGATTTTCTATATTATCGTTATAGAGATATCAAAAATTAAAATTGAGATTTTCTATATTATCAATATAAAAAATCAAAAATAATAAATAAAATTTTCTAAACTGCCAATTTAGAAAAACAAGAAATGAAAATTAAGATTCTTGTATTATTGATATAGAAAATAAAAGCAATCAAACTAATTGTTATCTATATTACCAACATAGAAAAATTAAAATTAAAACTAATTGTTATTTATATTATTAATATAGAAAAATGAAAAATAATGAATAGGATTTTATATAATATCAAATATAGAGCAAATGTTGACTGTACTTGTTCTAAAATAAGACTGAAGTTCATGTGCAAAAAAATGAAGCAAAGTAGCCGATCAGATTGATTATTTCCATGTTTATAAGAGATATTTGAGAAGTTTGATTTAATTGAAATAAATCTATAGTATTAATAAGCATTTTATATAGCTCTATGTCATTATCTATAAGTAGAATACAAAATTACCTACTAGAGTTTTATGCCTCACAATCCCTTTGATTTAAAAAGCAGAAAGTATTGTTTTGTTTCTGACTCTCATCTTCGAGTTGTTTGACACATAATTAAAGGTCTTATACCGTTTTACATGTATTTGTTTTTTGTCGATGGAAGAAAAGAAATAATACTAAAATGTACTTTCTTCCAATTGCACTGAGACATTAAACATATTAAAAATATATGCCATCACATAATAAACATGACAATTGATTAAATAGTATTAAATTTAATCAAGATCTTGATGATAGCTAGATTCTTCATTGACAAATTAAAAACGATGAAATTATTTTTAGGGAGTTTATAAAACTGTATGACATTTTTTATTAACTTCATCGGTTCCGTAACTGTCCATTCAAGATATAATCATAGCAATATTGTTTCTAGTCTAAAGCTCAAGTTAGTATCAATATAAATCTTTAGAAAATTCTTGACAAACAAAAAAAAAACTTTCTTCTAAGATTTAACCAGTTCAGAATGCGATATAATAAAAATTTAAAGAAGAAATCTTCACACTTATTACTAGTGAGAATAGCTAAAATTATGATGAAATCTTTTACGATCGTTGTTTTTTTTGTGAGAATCCTCAAAAATTTACACCTATTGAATAACCTACAAAACACAAACTTGCAAAGATTTTAGATCAAGGTTTCGATAGGAGATTCGTATTGTCTTGTAAAGAAGTGAAAATATTTAATTCTAGAAAGTTCGAAATCGATCCGTGATCGACACTGCTATTGTTTAAAAAACCGTGTTCCATACCCTGTTAAGTTGAAAATTTGTAATACATTAGAAATGAATTCAAAATAAAAGATTTGATTGATTCGTATATAGATCATTGTTTGTGCTATAATGTAGAGTAATGAACATGACAGATTCTTCAAATATTCTTGAACTTGGAAAAGATTTGTTTTTGAGTTCTTTTCATCTACTAAAATTCGAACTTACGTATTTTTTTATCTAAGCTTATCTTATTTAGCACTTCGATTAGTCTTTCTACAATCTACTGGTTTGTTTGAGATTCAGGAATAAATTACTCAATAATAAGTATGATGCAAAATTCATGGCATAAAATACTTTCGAATGATGTATGATTTATATTTGTCACACATTCGTAAATGGAATAAGAAAGAAAAATACTTACACAAAAAATTTGTAATTTTTTTATATGAATCAGTCAAAAACGTCTTATGCATGGTAGTTAAGTATAATTAACTATTGTTATTATCTAGCAAGATGTTTTTAACGAATTCATATAAAAGTGGCAAATTTATTTTCTCTCATTTCACTCAGAAATGTGTGACGAACATAAATCATACACCGTTTACTATCAACTGATAACAAATTCTTTTTCCCTTACGTTCAAATTCTATTATAACTCATTTTATTGTAAAATCCAAACAATAAAAAATGAAATAATTTTTAAATATATTTCAAACTCGAACTAACGAAATCAGTGAATATGTTGGAAAAATTCGATATAAAAGAAAATTTCATTTACGATAAAAATTCGAGTTCATCGCAATTTTTTCCGTTACCAGTTAAATTTTAGTTAGTTTTAGTCAAACTAAGGATTCTTATACAAAATATTTGAAAAAATCAACAATGTTTGTCCTCAACATTGAGAAAATCAGATTCTAATCAAGTTCATACACACTAAAATAAAATGTGTCGTATATATGTGTCGTACAAGAATGTGTCGCAGACTCCATTACAAAAATGTGTCGTAAAAAAATGTGTCGCATTATAGATGTGTCATAGCCTATATGTCAATCGTTCATTCACCGATTTGTTTCGCGAGTGCAGCTGCATATAACCGAGCCTATTGGACGTACTTGACTTATACATTTTCGTATGTCTTTTTTTTCTCGATTATTTCTCAACCATTTATTATTCGAGAACATGTCGAGAGGTCGCTAGATGATCGAGAATGGACTGCCTCGAAGTAGTCTGATCGAGATCAAATGGTCTCGAGGCAGCTAGATCTTAAGATCTACCGTCTCGAACTCCAAGAATAGGTGCTACTGTTTGAAATTAACTGAAAAAATAGTAACTATTCGAATTTTCAAAAAAAAATAATCCTCGTGCCGAAAAATGGATTCGAACCACGTGTTAAAAATGTGTCGCATGTGTCGCACAAGAATGTGTCGTACGTCCGCTGGAAGAAATGTGTCGCAACGAGCTCCTCGTGTCGCATATTAATGTGTCGTACATTGTGTCGCAAAGTGCGACACATGCGACACATTTTATCTTAGTGTGTAAGTAAAAAGCTTTTGTAATTGAGAGCAGTTCAATACTGTTTAAAACAAATGAGAACGACTCATTTCAATGAAATCGATGTTTATTACTACTCAATACCTTTGTTTCATTTTAGTACCAATGCGTGCAAGTTCCATTGATATTCGTCCGAATGCAAAATGGGCACAGAGTGGTATCACTGTTGCTGGAGGAAATGGACAAGGCAGTGAAACCAATCAACTCAAATGGCCATATGGCTTGTACGTCGATGATGATCAAACGATTTATGTCGCTGATTGGTTGAATCATCGTATTGCGGAATGGAAATCTGGTGCAACGAATGGAAAAGTAGTTGCTGGTGGAAATGGACAAGGACATGAAGCACATCAATTACATGGCCCACGAGATGTGATTATCGACAAAGAGAGCGATAGTCTCATCATCAGTGATTGGGGGAATAACAGAGTAGTTCGATGGCCTCGTCGAAATGGTACTCGTGGAGAAACAATTATTTCAAATATCTCTTGCTTCGGTTTGACAATGGACGACAATGGCTTTCTCTATGTCGTTGACTGGAAACAACATGAGGTGAGACGATATAAAATTGGTGACACTAAAGGAACAGTGGTTGCAGGTGGCAATGGAAAAGGAAATCGTCTCGATCAACTCTCTGAACCCCGCTACGTATTTGTCGATCAAGATCATTCAGTATATGTGTCTGATTATGGCAATCATCGTGTAATGAAACGGGAACAAGGTGCAAAACAAGGCATTGTCGTAGCCGGTGGTCAAGGAAAAGGAAATAGTCTTACACAATTGAATAGTCCTCAAGAAGTTGTTGTCGATCAATTGGGTACTGTCTATGTGGCTGATTTTGGGAATCATCGAATCATGCGTTGGCCAAAAGGAGCTACACAAGGAAGTGTCATTGTTGGTGAAAATGGTCAAGGAGCACAGTCGAATCAACTCGATGGTCCCATTGGTTTATCATTCGATCGACATGGCAATCTCTATGTCGTCGATTGGGGAAATAATCGAGTACAAAAATTTAATATGGAATAAACTCATTTCGATGATTAATTTTATCGTTTTGTTCTTTTTCTCTTTCAAATAAATCGTGATTGAATGGGAAAATGATTTCATTGCTATTCTATTCTCGCACGCGCGCGCGCGCGACCAGAAACCATCCTGGTGGAGCCGTAGCGAGTGTAATGCTCATGTACGCGCGGGAAGACCCACATCATCCACATGCACCCATCCGATGTCATATGTCACTGAGTCTGGGGGCCCGATCGTGTGCCACAGACACCAAGACAGTTCCTGGCCAGGCTTTTAGGGACTACTCGGAAGTCCTTCTTATAAAGTGAAACCCTAAACTCAGCGTGCCTCACTCACCCTAACTAGTCTCATCTCAACGAAGAAAAACGAAAAAAAAATTAACTCACCCGTGGATGTTGAATGATGACGTCTTTAACAGGAAAAGAAAAACATGAATATAAAAGATCACAAGAGGACTTACCACCCTCTGTATGATCCAATAAAGAAAAAAAATAAAAACTAATACCTACATTTTTTATTGTGTTGTATTGATTTGAATTGTATAATTTTGTATCGTCGAAATCATTCTAAAATATAAAAAGAAAAGATTGGAATTTGATTCAATAAATTGAATGATTTCTACATGGAAAATCATTCATATTTATACGTTAAAAAGTCGATATTTTACTTTTTTTTTCGTCAGAGAGTGATCAAAAGACGATAATAATTAAATTAACATCAACATATACACATACATTGAGATAAATTCAATCACAAATATCTCAATGTATGTGTATGGGATAATGCTTAATTGATATATGCAATCAGTATGTCATATTATCATTGATCATCAATGATAACCTGAACAATGACGACTTACGGACGAGAGAAGAAAAGAAAAAAAAATATTGTCGTGACCTATATTATTTTTTCATTCTTCTCTCACTTCCATATTCAGTTGTAAGCACGAAAAAGACGAGCACACAATATTCAAGTTTGTTCATATCATTCACTTCTTTTTTGTTCTGTTCCATAGATCAACTTTGGGATATGAATAAACAGTTTATTTTATTTTAATTCAATTTAAATGAAATCATTGAAAAATGATCGATATTGAATTTTAACAGTTCATTCAACATTAAATTTATTTGCTGCTGGTAAGATCCTTTTCATTTTCAAAAAAAAAGAAGTAAAATAAAATATTTGTTTGCTAGATCATGATAACCAAATATTCACGATGGTTGGAAATTACAACATCAAAAGATGTTCCTCTTATATAATTATAAAGGTAAATTTCCTCAGAATTTTTTAAAATAAATTAATTGTTTTATTTTATTTGAAAATACTGTTAATGGTCCACGTTCGAAAGATGCTAGTGAATCAAGAAATTCAATATAAAACTCTGAATGATATGATTTATTCGAATTGAACGTAAGGATTTTAAAAAGGTGTAACATTTCAAAAAGAGAAAGATATTTTTTCTAAATTGTTCGATATTTTAAATGTATATTGTTTTCTAGTATGTGAAGGTCGTCGTTCATCTGATTTAAATGCCATATGGGTTGCTTTAAATTTTTTTTATGGATTTTAATACAACATAAAACAAAATTTAATTAGCCAATTATAATGAAATGTTTTATGCTGATGGAGGTCTTAATTAATTCGTGAAAACGATCATATTAATATATATGATGCTTAACAAAAATGTTCATTAGCAAGTGTGAGAAGAGGCAAAGTTAAATATACAATGTGGTCGAATGATACGAATTACTTATCATTTTTAGGATGATTCAGGTGTTTTCATCATACAACATCAAATCATATTGAGTATACATTTATCAATGGTGACCATGGAATTATTCATATACTTGATTTATATATCTATATAACAAAAGTTAAAGTAATAGAAAATACGATGAAGTAAAATTTACAAATTTCTTTTCAAAAATCTTCATCTTGAAAACAAATGATGCAAAAACAAGATTTGGCTTAGCACTTGAATATAGAAATATTGATGTAAATTATTTGTGGTTTTTTTTTAAATAGTTTCAATTATCTATTTTTTGAAAAATGAGGAAAATTGGTTTGAAAAGTTTCTTATTGTTTAGCTGAAGTACGATAAAATGTTAGTAGACAATTTCAAATTGCAATCTTATTAGAGAATGTTGAAGAACACGTGAAATTTCTTAGACAATGCAATCAAAGTAATATTTTATATTTTTTCTCTATGAGATTGAATTATGTTGTGTCTTTTTTTTTATACAATAGAATCATTTAATGAAAAAGGAATATATTATGGATAAAAAAATACTCTCATGTTAATACTTCGTCTGAGAGGGTTCAGAGGTGTCCCGAGCATTCAAATATTGGGGGGAGGGGGTTCGTTTAATGGCGCTCAAAATAGTATTAAATTTTTCCATAATTGAACATAAGTTTTTTTTCATCAACTATTCAACTTACTTTTTTCAACACAATTTTGAAGTTATCTTGTACACATAAAAAAAACAAAAGAAAGAAAACAAACTTATAACCACTACTTAACAAAATAAAATAATCAGGTGTTTGACAAAGTAAAAAAAATCACGTATTTGGCAGAACTTTTATTCTTCTGTTTTTTGACAATGCCCAATCTTCAGCAAAACTAGACAGATCAATGTATTGTAATAAATCCTTTTCAAGTGAACAAAGCATAAGCCATTCGAGTTTATCATTAGATAAAGTAGACCTTAAATAGTTTTTAACCAATTTAAGCTTAGAAAAACTACGTTCATTGGTGGCCACGGAAATTGGCAAAGTGAGAAGAAATTGATAAACGCGTACAGCATTTGGATAGCCGCTTCTAATCACTCTCAATTTGTCAATAAATTCTGGCAATTCAGTACATGAATCGATATCATCTTTAAGGAGTTCAATTTCAGAATGTAAAAGAGCAGCGCACGAAACACCAGGAACAAGTTGTGCAAGATTATTAGCGTCCTGTAGAGAAAATAGATGTGCACATCCAGGAAGAACATTTTGAAAATGAATAAGTTTTTCTTCGATTGTTTTATGATATTCAGCATACGAAAAATAAATATAATCAAGTATTTCACGCATCAGCTTTACGTAATAGTCAACCCTAAATTAAGACAGAAAACATATTAAGCAAAGAATCAAGAATGTTTTACCGGTTCAATTGAATACCCGTTGCGGGATTCGAATCAATTCTTCTAGATCGTGGTCTCTGAGAATGATAACGAGAAAATTCACCTTCAATATCAGTTCCATATAATGATACTTTATCATCACATTCCTAAAATAGTAAAAATAGAAAAGTTTAAAGTGAACTAAATAATTAAATTATTTTATTTTATTCGTCATTTAGTGGAAATCAATTTAATCTGCTAAACGCAAGCTGAGATTCAGCTTACATTATGTCAAAAAAAGTGTCTCTAATAAAAACCATCTACTTACTTAGATCAAATTTTTTAAAAATGTATCACTGTTTCTCCATTCTAATAATGATTTGTTTGTATTGAGAATGAGATGTAAAGCTGTAATAAGATCCAAAGATTTTTTCTGAACATGTTTAATAAGATTGTATGTTTTTTGTGTTACAAGTCTCAAAAACGATAGAAGTAAGTTGAACTCAAAAGATAAAGCCTTTTTTTGTAAATTGATGGCCTGAAATACAAAAAAAAGAACTTTCTCTTAAAAATCCACACGTCGAAACACCCACCTGAAGCTTGGTATTTTTGTCATCGAGTGTATAAAGTTTATTAGCTGAATCACGTTCTTTAAAATCAACATGCTCGATCATAATGTTAAACGCATTTGAAAGGATGTGGGTGTGAGAGGATGTTCTTTATTCACTATACACCCACACCCACACCCACACCCACACCCACACCCACACCCACACCCACACCTACACCCACACCCACACCCACA